CTTGAGACCATTACTTTTTGTTCTGTCGTCTGCCACTACTGAGAACAGCCGAGCTCCATCCTCTTTGGAACCCCCCCTTCAGGTAGTTGAAGGCTGCTATCAAATCCCCCCTCACTCTTCTCTTCTGCAGACTAAATAAGCTCAGTTCCTTCAGCCTCTCCTCATAAGTCATGTGCCCCAGCCCCGTAATAATTTTTGTTGCCTTCCGCTGGACTGTGCCAATTTGTCCACATCCTTTCGGTAGTGCGGGACCCAAAACTGTATGCAGTACTCCAGATGTGGCCCCAACGGTGCCAGATAGAGGGGAATAATTACTGTCCTCAGTCTGCTGGCAACGTTCCTACTAATGCAGCCCAATATGCCGTTAGCCTTCTTGGTAACAAGGGCAAACTGCTGACTCATATCCAGCTTCTCGTCCACCATAATCCCCAGGTCCTTTTCGGCAGAACTGCCGCTTAGCCAGTCTGTCCCCAGCCTGTGGCAGTACATGGGATTCTTCCGTCCTAAATGCAGAACTCTGCACTTGTCCTTGTTGAACCTCATCAGATTTCTTTTGGCCCAATCCTCCAATTTGTCTAGGTCACTTTGGACCCTGTCCCTACCCTCCAGCATATACACCTCTTCCCCCCCCACCCCAGTTTAGTGTCATCCGTGAACTTGCTGAGAGTGCAATCCATCCCACCATCCAGATCATTAATGAAGATGTTGAACAAAACTGGCCCCAGGACTGACCCCTGGGACCCTCTACTTGATACCAGCTGCCAACTAGACATCAAGCCATTGATCACTACCCGTTGAGCCCAACGATTTAGACCGCTTTCTATCCACCTTATAGTCCATTCAGTCAATCCATACTTTTTTAACTTTCTGGCAAGAATACTGTAGGAGACCAAATCAAAAGCTTTGCTAAAGTCAAGGTATATCTTGTCCACTGGTTTCCCCTCATCCACAGAGCCATGTTGTGTTTATGTTGTCTTGGTGCACAAAGCCAGAGCTCCTGGTCCAGCTACAAGTAGGAGTAAACTTTCCAAGTCTACCCACAATACGCCTGGAACACTGTTCCTCCTGTTATCCATCAAGCACCTTTTCTCTTCTCCTTCAATTCCTTCCTTGAAACCCCAAATCTCTGAGCAGTCTTCTCCCTATCACTAATTCCCATGTTCTCTCTCTTGAACTTATTACTTTATTTTTAGACTGTAAACTTTTTGGGATGGGAATGTGTCTTATCAATATTTAAATGCTGTGCGCTTTTTGGAGTAGGTATAAACTTACGATGCTGAGTTTTTTATATATCTTCACATACGCCTTTAAAGTATAAATTCATCAGCCTTGATATCTGCTGTGCACCATTCACTCCCTATGCTTACAGTGCTGTGTATATTTACAGTTGTGTGCATGTACAACATTATGTAAATTATGACTATTTGCCATCTTCACGTGGCAAAAAAACACTTGATAAACTAGAGAAAAATGTAATTGGACAAAATGGCGCTGATCCTGAGATCACCATATCAGCTCTGTTCTTGCACCATGGTATTCCATCTGATTCAAATGAGTGTCTGGCTGTGTCTAACCTCCAGTTCTGTAGGGATGGGTGAACTGTGTGGGGTAAAAGAACTATCCTTAACCTCTCCAAAACTTTTTTCTGAGATTTAAAAAATAGCGCTTTTTTTCATTGCTCGTTCCTTTTTTCACATCTCTCTGTGTTCCTGGGTTCTAGCTGGGACTTGCAAAAATGTAATGAATTAAATCTCACAGCAGCCATGTATAATACAGTAGTAGAATTTCCATTTCATAGAATCATAGAATATAAGGGTTGGAAGGGACCCCAGAAGGTCATCTAGTCCAACCCCCTGCTCGAAGCAGGACCAATTCCCAGTTAAATCATCCCAGCCAGGGCTTTGTCAAGCCTGACCTTAAAAACCTCTAAGGAAGGAGATTCTACCACCTCCCTAGGTAACGCATTCCAGTGTTTCACCACCCTCCTTGTGAAATAGTGTTTCCTAATATCCAATCTAAACCTCCCCCACTGCAACTTGAGACCATTACTCCTCGTTCTGTCATCTGTTACCATTGAGAACAGTCTAGAGCCATCCTCTTTGGAACCCCCTTTCAGGTAGTTGAAAGCAGCTATCAAATCCCCCCTCATTCTTCTCTTCTGCAGGCTAAACAATCCCAGCTCCCTCAGCCTCTCCTCAAAACTCATGTGTTCCAGACCCCTAATCATTTTTGTTGCCCTTCGCTGGACTCTCTCCAATTTATCCACATCCTTCTTGAAGTGTGGGGCCCAAAACTGGACACAGTACTCCAGATGAGGCCTCACCAATGTCGAATAGAGGGGAACGATCACGTCCCTCGATCTGCTCGCTATGCCCCTACTTATACATCCCAAAATGCCATTGGCCTTCTTGGCAACAAGGGCACACTGCTGACTCATATCCAGCTTCTCGTCCACTGTCACCCCTAGGTTCTTTTCCGCAGAACTGCTGCCTAGCCATTCGGTCCCTAGTCTGTAGCTGTGCATTGGGTTCTTCCGTCCTAAGTGCAGGACCCTGCACTTATCCTTATTGAACCTCATCAGATTTCTTTTGGCCCAATCCTCCAATTTGTCTAGGTCCTTCTGTATCCTATCCCTCCCCTCCAGCGTATCACCAATGCGAGAAACTGAGAGGCAGACACAGGCGCTGACTTTCCAAAGTGCCAGGGGATGCTTGACCCCTGGCTCTGTCCCAGGCCCTGCCCCCACTCCACCCCGTCCCCCAAGGCCCTAAATCTTGATTTGTCTTGCAGACTTCTTGTTTTGGCTAGTTTCCTATTGGCATATAGAGCTAAAGGTGAAATAGTTTTGTCTCTGAGAAATATAGCCGATCAAAACAGACTGGCACTGGGTCACAGAGATGTACTTTAGATCCACACTCTAACTTATTATTCAGTGCTTTACTCCCACGCTGTGCAAACAATCACTTCCGTCACTTACTGGCTCTCACAGAGTGACCCACAAACCTCACCTATTGCATCTGTGATATTTTTTTTTTTTTTTTGGTCACGTCTAACTCTGTTTCCTGGGGAGAGTAGACATTAGTTTTTAATGGCATAGGTTTGTTTTTACTTGGGGACTTTGTCAAGTTAATGAGGAAGAGATTAGTCTCAGGACCAAAACCAGAAACTAAAAACTTTTGTGTAGAACTTGGTCTTGGGCAAGTTGGGCTAGTCACGTGCAAGGATGATGCTGCTGAATGGCTGTCACTATTCTTCTTACAGTGAGGATCTATGGAAGATTAAAATAGTAGTGAGGCATTGTGATTAGATGAGGCAAGGACATGCTGGTCAGGTCAGAATGAGGCTGTGGCTAAAGTTTGAGATAAAGGTTCAAAGCCTAACCAGGGCTAGAACTCGTTTACATAATATTATGCCAAAGTTGCAAGCTGCTTTTGTGAGATTTTGATACAAAATGGCAGAAATATTGAGTGAGCAACAGATTTTCCAATAGCACCATCATCTGGTCCCACCAGGAGATCTACAACTATTCTTGCAAGACTCCTGATGTATTGGGCCATTCTCAGATAACTTCAACTCTTTTTGAAGTTTGGCAACGTTTGAATCCAAATCCTAAAATTAAGACCTGACCCAAAACTATACCTCCATTCTTTATTTACCATGAATTGACTTTGAATGGAAGAGCATGTGAAGATCATGTGTCTGATTGGAGCTAACTAATTAGGAAAGGTACAATACACTTTCAAAGGTAGGACAGATTCTGCACTAAAACTAAATCCAGTTGTTTTCATTTCAGAGCTCAGAGGACGAATCCAAGTGGGTTGAAGATCTCCTGAAGATGCATACCGCACGAGTGCGTGACATTGAACAAATTACGAGCTTGGACTTCTTCCGAAAGACCAGCCGAAGCTACACAGAAATTCTCTCCCTAAAGACATACCTGCATACATTTGAAAGCGAAATTTAACTTTCTGATTTTACTCAGTGCATCCTTCTATCAACTGGTGTATATTTTTATATTGTTTTTATATTTATTAATTTGAAACCAGGACATTAAAAATATTAGTATTTTAATCCTGTATCAAATCTTAAATATTAAGCCCTTGTGTCAGTTGTTTTGTTTCTCTAATGTTTAATGTAGGTATGGGGTTTTTAGTGTGCTTGTAATACTGCAGCTTGCATCCTTAGTCACAGTGTTTAAGTGGTGCTGTAGAATCGATACTTGCATTGAGGAAATATTAATTTTCCAGTGCTCCTTTGCCACGTTTGTAGTCCTGTACTGTATATCAAAATACTGAACATGTAAAATTACATTAATTTACTATTAACTATGTGACAGAAGTATTTAAACCCTTTAGACAAAAAGAATCTTAAATATAATAAACCACACATTCAGTTTTTTAATGTCTTACTTTGCTTTCCTTTTAGAGGATATTTGAGTCACTGGAAGCTGAATGCTTTAGGCTTTCTTACTTACAGAGCTTGAGCCAATTTGTCATGCTTGCAAGTGTGGTTCTGCTGTCTGAAGTTACTATGAATCTAGGGCCCCTTTCTGATTCTAAGGGCATGTTTACACTTACCTCCAGAGCAATCGATCCAGCGGGGGTCGATTTATTGTGTCTTTACTGCCGAGCGCTCTCCCATTGACTCCAGTAATCCACTGGAGCAAGAAGAATAGGTGGAGTCGACGGGGGAGCATCAGCAGTCGACCTACCGCTGTGAAGACTCCATGGTAAGTAGATCTAAGTACGTCGACTTCAGCTACATGAATAACGTAGCTGAAGAAGTTGTGTAATTTAAACCCCACCTCCGTCCCCTGCCAGTGTAGACCAGGCCTACGTGCATAGGACAGAATATGTAGTAGGCCAGGCAATCGATACTGGCCAGTAAGCATTTCTGACTCCGTGGCTAGAGCGTTCCTGGTACCACACCTCGGCAAGTGGAATAACATTTGATGCGCCCCCGCTTGAGTGCCACGGCGCCAGTGTGGACGTCCTGGTCTGTTAGTGTGCTCTGATTGGCCTCCAGAAGTGTCCCACAATGCTTGTTCTAGCCACTCTGGTCATCACTTTGAACTCTACTGCCCTGCCCTCAGGTGACCAACTTGTCAGACCCGCCCTTTAAATTCTCTGGGAATTTTGAAAATCCCCTTTCTGTTTGCTCAGCCAGGTGTGGAATGCTCTCAGTGAATCTTTCCAGGTGACCATGCCTCCACGTGCCAGGTGATCCCTAGTATGGAGCAATGGCAAGGTGCTGGACCTCATCAGTGTTTGGGGGGAGGAATCTGTCCAGTCCCAGCTGCAGGAATTACGATATCTTCTGGCAGATCTCAAGGGCCATGCTGGAAAGGGGCCATGACCAGGATGCTCTGCAGTGCAGGGTTAAAGTGAAGGAGCTGCAGAATGCCTACCGCAAAGCCTGAGAGGCAAACAGCTGCACTGGTGCTGCCCCCGCTACCTGCCGTTTTTACAAAGAGCTGGACAGGATACTTGGGGGCAACCCCACCTCCACTCCAAGTACCACCATGGACACTTCAGAGCCCAGCTCAACAAGGCAGGAGGAGGAGCAGCAGCAGCAAAGCGGGAGCGAGGGTGCTCCGGCAGAGGAAGACACCCCGGAATCCCTAGATGCATGCAGCCAGGAGCTGTTCTCAAGCCAGGAGGAAGGTAGCCAGTCGTGGTGGCCGGTGCTTGGGGAAGGACAAACACCAGAGGAGGTTCCCGGTAAGGGGCTTTTATTTTGGGAAGAAAGTTATTTGGTGCTGGCTCTTGGGCCGAGGAGGGTTGGGGCTGCATGCATGCCTAGATGCGGAATAGGGTGTTGATGTGCGCTCTCACATCGTGGTAATTGGCCTCAGTGATCTCTTCAAAGGCCTCATCCAGAACTTGGGCAATGCGCTTGCGTAGGCTTTTCAGGAGAGCCACTTTTGTCCTCATCCCAGTAAGGCTAACTTGTCCGCGCCACTGTGCCGTGAGGGGCGGGGGGACCATTGCTGCACACAGGCAAGCTGCATATGGACCAGGGCAGAAGCCGCATTGCAGTAGAAGACCCTCCCTTGCTTCCCTGGTCACCCTCAGCAGTGAGATAATTTCTAGGACGAACTCCTGTGGAATATAGAATCATAGAATATAAGGGTTGGAAGGGACCCCAGAAGGTCATCTAGTCCAACCCCCTGCTCAAAGCAGGACCAATTCCCAGTTAAATCATCTCAGCCAGGGCTTTGTCAAGCCTGACCTTAAAAACCTCTAAGGAAGGAGATTCTACCACCTACCTAGGTAACGCATTCCAGTGTTTCACCACCCTCTTAGTGAAAAAGTTTTTCCTAATAGCCAATCTAAACCTCCCCCACTGCAGCTTGAGACCATTACTCCTCGTTCTGTCATCTGATACCATTGAGAACAGTCTAGAGCCATCCTCTTTGGAACCCCCTTTCAGGTAGTTGAAAGCAGCTATCAAATCCCCCCTCATTCTTCTCTTCTGCAGGCTAAACAATCCCAGCTCCCTCAGCCTCTCCTCATAACTCATGTGTTCCAGCCCCCTAATCATTTTTGTTGCCCTTCGCTGGACTCTCTCCAATTTATCCACAATATGTGGGGACAGTGTTCAGTATGGGGCCCCCTCCTGCTGTTGGCTCTCCCCAAGGCACAGAAACCCAGAGGACAGTACAGCCGTGAAACAATCAGTCACGCTTGACCCTGTGCTGACTCACCATTTGGGGCTCCCGTGGATTATGTGCGCTCGCTTTGGGACGGGCAAATTATGCTATTGTGTAGACTGTGCTCGCCCTTGATTATGGCGGAATCATTGCTCTGTCTGGTGTGAACAATGCTGCCGCTGTTAAGTGTTGTATTTTGCCTTTACAGATGCAACCTTGAGATCTCAGCCGTTTGGGTTATCAACGGCCAAGAGGCTGCAAAGAATCAGGGAGAGGCCACGTAAAAGCAAAGCGGACGTGCTGCATGAAGTAGTGGAGCATTCAGCTAATGAAAATCAAAAAGTGCAGGAGTGGCAGGACAGCGAAAGGAGGATCCGTCAGCGGAATGAGGAGCGCCGGCACAAAAGCGCGGTGCTCCGGCAGCAAAGCACGGATCGGCTGATAAGAATCATGGAGCACCAAGCGGACTCGATCCAGGCGCTCGTAACCATGCAGGCAGAGCACTACCATGCCCGCCCCCTGCTGCAGCCCTTGTCCCAAAACTCTTTCCCTTGTGCCCCCATGTCACCTCCAACCCACTTTCCCCAACATCCGGGTTCTTACCGCCACCAGCTGCCTCCAACACCTGTAGCTTCACCACCCAGCCCTGAAAACTACAACCCTTACCCTCTGCACTCAACCCCCATCGCCATGCAGTATAGCCATCCTGAAGTGCAGCACTCATTGCACAGCACTCCAGACAGGACATACGCAAATCTGTGATTGTACTGTTCCCCACCCCATCCCTTTGCCCTTTGTGTTTCCCAAGCAATTGTGTTGTTTCTTTTCAATAAATTTATTTATTGGCTTTGAAAACATTCTTTATTATAGCATAACCGTAGCCCAGGAAAGCAACAGGCCCTGCAAGTCCGTGTATCATACGTAGCGAACACAGATTCCTACCACACTTCACTCCCGTGCAGGGCACCACACCAGACATTACTGTTGGCTTTCAGCTTCAAATTGCTCCCTCAAGGCATCCCTCTAATAGCCCTGGTCTCTGGCTGTTCAAATTCAACCTCCAGGTGTTGAACTTCTGAGTTCCGTGCCTGAGTGAATTTTTCACCCTTCCCTTCACAAATGTTATGGAGGGTACAGCACATGGATATAACCGTGGGGATGCTGTTATCAGCCAGGTCCAGCTTCCCATACAGAGAGTGCCAGCAACCCTTTGAACGTCCAAAAGTGCACTCCACAGTCATTCTGCACCGGCTCAGCCTGTTGTTGAACTGCTCCTTGCTGCTGTCAAGGCTCCCTGTGTAGGGTTTCATAAGCCACGGCACCAGAGGGTAAGCGGGGTTTCCAAGGATCACAATGGGCATTTCGACTTCCCCTACGGTGATCTTCTGGTCTGGGGAAAAAAGTCCCGACTTGCAGCTTTCTGAACAGGCCAGCATTCCGAAAGATGCATGTGTCATGTACCTTTCTGGCCCAGCCTGCGTTAATGTCAATGAAACACCCACGGTGATCCACAAGCACCTGGTGAACCATAGAGAAATACCTCTTCCAGTTAACATACTTAGAGGCTAGGTGGGCTGGTGCCAGAATTGGAATGTGTGCCATCTATTGCCCCTCTGCAGTTAGGGAATCCCATTTGTGCAAAGCCATCCACAACGTCATGCACGTTATCCGGAGTCACAATTCTTCTGAGCGGGATGCTATTAATGGCCCTGCAAACTTGCATCAGCATGATTCCAACGGTCCACTTCCCCACTCCAAACTGGTTAGCGACCAATCAGTAGCTGTCTGGAGTTGCCAGCTTCCAGATTGCAATAGCCACCCACTTCTCCACCCTCAGGGCAGCTCTTAATCTCGTGTCCTTGCACCACAGGTTGGGGGCGAGCTCCTCACACAGACCCATGAAAGTGGCTTTTCTCATCCGAAAGTTCTGCAGCCACTGCTAGTCATCCCAGACTTGCATGACGCTGTGATCCCACCACTCAGTGCTCGTTTCCCGAGCCCAGAAGTGGCTTTCCACGGTGGTGAGCATGTCCATGTATGCCACGAGCAAACTCATGTTGTTTGCGTTACTCGAGTCCATATCATCGTCTGAGTCCTCACTGTCACTTTGGATCTTAAGGAATAACTTGACTGCCAAACGTGATGCGCTGGCGAGACTCGTCCGCATATTCCTCAGCAGTTTGGGCTCCATTCCCGCAGACCGAAAGAGAAGACAGAGCACACAGTACAAAAAATGTTGAAAGATGGCGCCAAATGTGGACAGAAGCGAAGGGAATGCTGGGATGCAAACCAATGCAGCACGAGGCGTTGGGACAGGACCCAGAATGCCCCGCACTCCCTGCCCCCTTCTCACAAGCCACAGTGCCAGAATGGGAAGAGGAGCTCTGTGGGATAGCTGCCCACAATGCACCGCTTCCAAAGCCGCTGCAAATGTGGCCACGCCAGTGCGTTTGCAGCTGGTAGCGTGGACAGACCGCAGCGCTTTCCCTACTGCGCTCTCCGAAGGTGGGTTTAACTCACAGCACTCTACGTCTGCAAGTGTACATGTGTGTGTGCATGCCCACAAGGGGGTGGCTTGAGCAAAGTTGATCTGGAGATTAATGATAAACAATGCAGACTGAACCTTATGCTGCCGTTCTTAGAAAGTTGTTCTTCAGGGCAGAGTGGGACTTCAGGCTCGATGGAGGTTTGCCATATTTCTCTTGGTGGTAATCCGGTTTTTTATGACCTCATTGTAGCAATCTGCACCTTGGGATACAAGTGTGGGGATAAACCAAAACTGTTCTTTTTCAAACAACCTATGGTTAATATTTCCATTTATTTTTTTTTTAAATGAAGATAATACTTTCAGTACTTTTGAATAATCCAACAGTCAGGTTTGGTATTCTAATACAAATGCCAAAGTCCGCTTAATTTATCAATGAACACAACATTAGCATTTTAATAGGAGAGACTTTCAGATGAAGTTCTAATGATTGAACGGAAATAAGTTCACATAGCTTTGTTTGAGAAATGTTCTAGTCTTGCAACATAAAAGTTGTCTCTTGTGGTTGTCTGGTAACATTGGAAGTATTTTATTTTTCTGTAGGCTGCAGGCAGGGCTTTCTGCCACCATAAACTTTAATTTCTTACACATCCTACAAAGGGTATTTCCTTTAGATTGAAAACTTTTTCCAGTTAAAATGTCCCTGTGAACTCATATAAACTGAATCTAAGACCACCAGTACTGTGTGTTTTGATCTTCAGGTCAATTTTTAATGACTTAATCTCTCTCCATTTCCTCCAAATGAAAAATACACTGAGATATAACCATGGAGTATTAGATCTCTTAAACACTCTGCTTTAGGCACCGGTTAAAGAAATGACTGTCTGCGTCCCTGCTCTTGTATTTTAATTTCATTGAACAATGGTGGCTTAAAGATCAGTGTGTAGAGAAATGTGAAATTTAACTCATTTCATATTGTCAAAGTATGCAGTGCTTTAGCTTCCATTGTGTCGACAGCAGGAAAGGATATTCACACCTTGCCTAAACTGTTGTATAACTGTTAAATGTTGGCTGCATTTGAGTAATGGGTGTGGTGACTTCTGAATATAAAATACTCCTTTTGTGATGAAAGGTTCTATGTCAGGGGTTTTCAAACTGGGAGTTGGGACCCCTCAGGGGGTCAGGAGGTTATTACATGCGGGGTCACGAGTTGTCAGCCTCCACCCCAAACCCCGCTTTGCATCCAGCATTTATAATGGTGTTAAATATATTTAAGTGGTTTTAATTAATAAGGGGGGTTGCACTCAGAGGCTTGCTAAGTGAAAGGGGTCACCAGTACAAAAGTTTGAGAACTGTGCTATGTGAATATAAGACTTTTAGTACAGAACTGAAGCTTTGAAAAGCTCCTCCAAATCTCTAAGGTAACAGAATCCCGCTGGAGGAAGACTAAACATTTTAAAGCTAACTTTTAATTTCCCTATTGCTTCTTTTAAGAAAAGCAGCCAATTTATTACTACCCAGTGGAAAGCCCTCCTGCTTTCCACTCCCTTTGGGCCATTTTGAAAACATGCATAAAATACCTTGTGTCTTGCGCTTCCCTTTCCACCACAAATGCGAAGTTGTTACTTCCAAACTTCTGATACTACCATGGCTTTTGTTGTGTACAGAGTGGTCACTATCAGGAAAATGAACATTGAGTTTGCCATCCAGGTGCATAAAATGTCCTGTGTGGTGGTAGAGCTGGTCAGTTCTGCAAGAAATTCTCATATTTTTCCATGCCAAAGCCAAAATTTCCTGCAAAATGAAAATTCTGAGATTTCAGTTTGGGATGGTCAAAATGTGTTGCTTCGTTAAGTTAAACTGTTTTGCTTTGACTTTAAAATTTTGAGCCATTTCAGTTGGACTCGTATAATATAAATCAAAGTGGTAAAGTTAGTACAAAACATATTATCTTATTGAAATGACATGTTCTGATCCCCCCACCCCCCAGTGAAATTTTCAGTCAGTATTTTCCTGGGAAACTGCTAAACTGGTCCTGCATTTCACACCAGTGTTGGCTATATTTCAGTAATGAGAGAACAGTTTCCTATATTATATGAAAAAAGGAGTACTTGTGGTACCTTAGAGACTAACCAATTTATTTGAGCATAAGCTTTCGTGAGCTACAGCTCACAGTAGCTCACGAAAGCTTATGCTTAAATAAATTGGTTAGTCTCTAAGGTGCCACAAATATTCCTTTTCTTTTTGCAAATACAGACTAACAAGGCTGTTACTCTGAAACCTCTATTATATGCAGATTCTAAAGTGCTTCGGGCTCCATATGGGAGAAAGGGACTATTGAAATGTTATCAGTAGCTCCACACCATATAATGGGTCTATTCCCAAGAGTGAAGTTGCATGCATAAATGTTTGCAAGATCAACCTCGTTGTATGGCTGCAGGCAATTACAGAACAAGCCCCCTATAGTCCCCAACCTCTCAATGATTTATTTACAAAGGAATGGGCCAGCATATCTTTAGATGGAATGCAGCTTTTGACATGTAAAATCCTTCAAAAAGCACTTGATTTCATATCCTGCAGCCATCAGCTGTTTCAGGATAAGCACAGACTCTTGAATTCAGGAGTTGGCAGGATCTGTACTGTAAGGAAAGGGGAGGAAGGCCTGACTCGTGAGTGATCTTGGTTTAGAACAGCTGGATTTGTGGTGTTGGTGTGCACCTGTATTATGTCACTTTGAACTGCTAAATTTTAAATTAGCTTTGAATTCACCTTTTTAAGAAAGCACTGCCATCTTCTCTGAAGAAACCACCCAGCTCAGGTGGACCATTCTCTGTTGGAGAATGCTACTTTGGTCCTGGATATATTGCTCACAACTCCAAGACTGAATGGGAAACCCCCTTTCTTTTTCTTGAAGAACTTTGCATAGACCCTGTCTATTGTACCCATTCCTAGAGAGTTGAGCTGCTGCACATTTTTCTACATTTTGGGCGACTACTAGAGAATTTTAATGCACCTAGAAGTAGTTTGTGGCAGGTACTGCATCTGCTAAAGTACCTCTGATCTACACAAATCTGGTAATGTTTTCACTTAGAACAGCGTATTTCATCTAGGGGTCTTGTGTTGCTTTTACAGTCATGAATTAATTAACTTTCACCCTGTTCCTGCAAGGTAGCTATTCTGTTGTACATATGGGGAAACTGAGGCACAAAGAGGTTGTCATTTGTTCACGGTTGTGCATTCAACACAGCAGCAGTGAGCTGTGAATAGCTCTATGCAGGAGGCTAGAATACCACTCTCCTGTTTTCATGCCCAGA